TTCGATTTTTGTTATTGCATAAAGTTACATTTTTATTCGTAGACAGTTCAAGAGTTGTGGCACTAGTTCTGGGTGGATTTTATTTCGATTTTTGTTATTGCATAAAGTTACATTTTTAAATTGTTTTCTCTTGCACTTATTTCCGCTAGTTTATTTTGTTAAGTCTTAAATATTTGAAAGATAAAGGAAAAGGTAAGATATTTTGAAACGTTGGCTTGCCTAGCGAGTACAATATTAGGCGCCATCACGGTCCCGACGGTTGAAAATTCGGGTCGTGATAAGTTGGTATCAGAGCTTTAGGTTGCTTAGGTCTCACAATTCATGAACAAGCTTAGTAGAGTCTGAGGGATCGGTACAAAGATGTATGTGTTTATCCCCTAGAGGCTACAGAGTTAGGAACAATTTCACTTCTATTCATCTATCGTACGGTTTGATATCTCAATACTAACTGAACTCTCTACTATGTTCTTTCGCAGATGGCGAAAACACGTACCGCTTCTTCAGCTGATCAATAGCCCGAGCCCCTAGTAGCAGCTCCTATACAGGGCACAGGACGAGGTCTAGGCCACGCTAGAAGCTAAGGTAGGGGCAGGGCTCAGTCCAGAGATCGAGCATCTGCACCAGCGGCGGAGCCTCAGGTAGATTTTGATGATGAGGTTCCAGCCTAGACCATTCCAGCAGGCCAACTCAGGTTCCAGAGGGGTTTATAGCTACCCCAGTACTTCAGCATATTTTGGTCCGACTAGTGGGCCTTATGGAGAGTGTTACTTAGGCCGGCATACTTCCTGTAGCACCAACCGCCTCTCGAGCTGGGGGAGGAGCACAGACTCCCGCCACTCGCACTCCAAAGCAGATGGCTCCTCAGCTTCAGACTCCAGCAGCTCAGCCAGTTGGGGTAGTTCCGCCGGGTGTTGTAGCTCAGACCGATGATAGAGCAGCTATGTCTTTTGATGCTTTGTGCAGATTAGATAGGTTCACCAAGATTTTCACTACTACCTATGGTAGTACATCTTCAGAGGATCCCCAAGACTATTTGTACATCTGTCATGAGGTTCTACGGAACATGGGGATAGTGGAGACCAATGGGGTTGACTTTGTTGCTTTTCGTCTGTCAGGTTCTGTCAAGAATTTGTGGAGGGATATTGTTTGGCCAGACCAGTTGGGTCGCCTGCTTTGACTTGGGACCAGTTCTCTCAGCTATTTCTGGAGAAGTTCCTTCCTATCACTCAGAGGGAGGACTATCGAAGGCAGTTTGAGCGTCTCCAGTAGGATTCTATGATCGTCACTCAATACGAGACCAGATTTATTGACTTGGCTTATTATGTTCTTCTTATACTTCCCACCGAAAGAGAGAGGATGAGGAGGTTTATTGAGGGACTAGCTCAGCCTATCAGATTGTAGATGGCTAAGGAGACAGGGAGTGAGATTTCTTTCCAGGATGCAGCCAATCTGGCCAAGCGAGTTAAGATAGTTCTATCACAGGGGAGTGGTCAGGGGTCAGACAAGAGGCCGCGTCATTCCGGTGGATTCAGTAGGACCTCATCTGGAGGTCGAGGTACTTTTGGTAGGGGCCATCCTCCTAGGCCATTTCATTCAGCACTCTAGATATCCCATGGAGCTTTAGGGGGTCGTGGTCCTTATGTACCTCCTTTAGGACAGCCAGCTTATAGTGTACTGCCAGCTCCTATCAAGGCATATCCTCTTCATAGTTATTATAGCGGTCAGCCGGCCCGTCAAGGTCAGTATCAGTTTTCTCAGCTCCAATATTCAAATAGATGTTTTGAGTGTGGTGAGTATGGTCATATCCGGAGGTCTTGTCCGAGATTAGTGGGTGTTTAGTCTTAGTAGGAGAGTTCTCGTACCATGATTCCGGCACCACCTGCCCAGCCAGCTAGAGGTAGGGGTCAGGGATCCAAAGGTAGGGGTCAGCCCGCTAGAGGTAGAGGTCAAGCCGTTAGAGGTAGAGGCCAGCTGCTAGAGGTGGAGGCCATCTAGCAGGAGGCCATCCCAGAGATATAGTTCAGAGTGGTGGGGCCTACCCCTGATGTTATGCTTTCCCAGCCAGGCCTGAGGTTGAGTCCTTTGATGTTGTTATCATAGGTACTGTTTTGGTTTGTAGTAGAGATGTTTCAGTTCTGTTTGATCCAGGGTCTATATACTCATATGTGTCTTCTTATTTTGCTTCATATTTGGTTGTGCTTCGTGATTCTTTGAGTGCTCCCGTATATATGTCTACACTGCTGGGTGATTCTATTATTGTAGATCATGTCTATCGTTCGTGCGTCATTGTTATTGGGGGTCTTGAGACTAGTGTAGATCTCCTACTTCTCGATATGGTGGATTTCGATGTCATTTTGGGGATGGATTGGTTGTCACCTTATCATGCTATATTGGATTATCACGTCAAGACTGTGACCTCAGACTTACTGGGGTTGCCTCGATTTGAATCGAGAGAGACTACTGCCAGCAGGGTTATCTCTTATATGAAGGCTCGGCATATGGTTGAGAAGGGGTGTTTGTCTTATTTGGCTTATGTTCGTGATTCTAGTGTTGAGGTTCTTCTATGGATTCTGTGCTAGTTGTTCGGGAGTTTCCTGAGGTATTTCCTGCAGACCTCTTGGGGATGCCACCCGACAGGGATATTAACTTCTGCATTGATGTGGCTCCGGGCACTCAGCCCATTTCTATTCCGTCGTACTATATGGCCTCGCCAGAGTTGAAAAAGTTGAAGTAGCAGTTGCAGGATTTGCTTGATAAGGGCTTTATTAGACATAGTGTCTCGTCCTAGGGTGCACCGGTGTTATTTGTTAAGAAGAAGGATGGATCGATGAGGATGTGTATAGATTATCGGCAGTTGAACAAAGTCATAATCAAGAACAAGTATCCATTGTTGAGGATTAATGATTTATTTGATTAGCTTTAGGGTGCCAAAGTGTTTTCGAAGATTGATTTGAGATCTGGCTACCATCATTTGAGGATTAAGGCATATGATGTCCCTAAGATAGCTTTTCAGACTAGATATATGCATTATGAGTTCCTAGTAATGTCATTTGGGTTGACAAATCGCCCAGCAACATTTATGGATTTGATTAACCGAGTGTTCAAGCCTTACCTGGATTCCTTTGTGATCATTTTCACTGATGATATCTTGATCTACTCCTGTAGCCGAGAAAAGCATGAGTAGCATCTTCGAGTCATTCTCTAGACTCTGAGAGACAGCCAGTTATATGCTAAGTTTTTGAAATGTGAGTTTTGGTTGAGTTTAGTTTCATTCTTGGGTCACGTTGTATCAGTAGAGGGTATTCAGGTGGCTCTTAAGAAGATTGAGGCAGTCAAGGACTGGCTTAGACCCACATCAGCTACAGAGATCCGGAGTTTCTTGGGTTTGGCGGGTTATTACCGTTGGTTTGTGGAGAGGTTTTCATCTATAGCAGACTTGATGACCAGGTTGACCCAGAAAGGTGCCCAGTTCAGGTGGTCGGACGAGTGTGAGGCAAGCTTTCAGAATCTCAAGACAGCTTTGACTACGACATCGGTGTTGGTATTACCCACAGGTTCAGGGCCATATACAGTATATTGTGATACATCTCGTATTGGACTTGGTGCGGTATTGATGCAGAATGACAAGGTTATTGCATATGCTTCGCATCAGTTGAAGATCCACAAGAAGAATTGTCCAATTTATGATTTGGAGCTAGTAGCCAATGTTCACGCGCTGAAGATTTGGATTCATTATTTATATGGCGTGTCGTGTGAGGTGTTCACGGATCATAAAAGTTTGCAGTATTTGTTCAAGCAGAAGGAGCTAAATTTGAGGTAGAGGAGGTGGTTGAAGCTATTGAAAGACTATGATATTACCATCTTGTATCATCTCGGGAAGGCCAATATCGTGGCCGATGCTTTGAGTAGGAAGTCAGCCAGTGTGGGCAGCCTTGCATATATTCTAGTCGGTGTGAGACCTCTTGATTTGGATGTTCAGGCTTTAGCCAATCAGTTTGTGAGGTTGAATGTTTCTAAGCCCAGCTGTGTTTTAGCTTGTACAGTCGCTCGATCTTCATTATATGAGTGTATCAGAGATCGACAGTATGATGACCCTCATTTGTTGGTCCTTGGAGACATAGTGCGGCACGGTGGTGCCAAGCAGGTTACAGTTGGAGGTGATGGGGTTTTAAGGATGCAGGGCCGTGTTTGTGTGCCTAATATAGATGGACTTCGTGAGTTGATTCTAGAGGAGGCCCATAGTTCCCGGTATTCTATCCATCCGGGCGCCGCTAAGATGTATCAGAACTTGCAGCAACATTATTGGTGGAGGAGGATGAAGAAGGATATTGTTGCATATGTATCTCGATACTTGAATTGTCAGCAGGTAAAGTACGAGCATCAAAGATGGTGGTTTGCTTCAGAATATTGAGATTCCTGAGTGGAAATGGGAGCGTATCACTATGGATTTGTTGTTTGGCTCCCACGGACTTAGAGGAAGTTCGATGCAGCATGGGTTATTGTTGATAAGTTGACTAAGTCAGCGCATTTCATTCCTGTGGCGGTTTCCTATTCTTTAGAGCGGTTAGCTGAGATCTACATTCGGGAGATTGTTCGTTTTCATGGTGTGTCCGTTTCTATCATTTCTGATCGGGGTACGTAGTTTATCTTGCATTTTTGGAGGGCAGTACAGTGTGAGTTAGGTATACGGGTCGAGTTGAGCACAACATTTCATCCTCAGACGGATGGACAGCCCGAGTGCACTATTTAGATCTTAGAAGATATGCCATGTGCCTGTGTTATTGACTTTAGGGTTGTGCATGGATCGGATCGGATCGGATTTAGCATATTTTGGATTGAAATTTCGGATTTCGGATTCCACAAATTGCAATACGAATCCAATCCGAATTATATCGGATTGGATCGGATTTTTAAAGTTTGGATCGGATTTTTAAAGTTCGGATCGGTTTGGTGATTGGATTTTCGGATCAGATTGTACGTATTATTAAGGAACTTTTCTTTTATTCTTTGTTGGACATATACTCATAAGCCAGGAGCCTGTGTGTTCCTTCAGCACAATAGCCTCTCAGTCTCACCAGATGAAGATGATGGATGCTGCCTATAATACTAACTTCTGCCCGAAATTCTTTCTTTCCCTGACCAACGCCTTCCAATTTCTTCACAGCAATTCTAGTCCCATCTGCAAGAACCCCTTGGTAAACTGAACCAAATCCACTTTGCCCATGTTTTATTGAGAAGTTATTAGTTGCATTCTGAAGTTCTCTATAGCTAAAACGAATCCGGCAACTTGTTGTTCTTTCTCCTCTGATAACAGATACTTCCCCTAATAAATTCGGATTTCGGATCGGATCGGGTTCAAACAATACAAATCCGAATCCAATCCAAAAATCCGAAATTTTAAAAAATCGAATCCTAATCCGATCCAAATATCCGAAATCCGAAATCCAAAATCCAAAATTGAGCGGATCGGTTTGGATTTCGGATATCCGATCCAAATGCACAACCCTAATTGACTTTGGAGGTTCTTGGGATCAGTTTTTGCCATTAGCGAAGTTTTCCTACAACAACAGCTATCAATCGAGCATCCAGATGGCCCCTTATGAGGCATTATATGGTAGACGGTGTCGATTGCTGGTTTTGGTGGTTAGAGATGGGGGAGGCTAGGTTGTTGGGTACCAATTTGGTACAGGATGCCTTGGATAAGGTTAAGATCATTCAGGATAGACTTCATACAGCTCAGTCTAGGAAAAAGAATTATGTCAACCGTAAGGTAATTGATGTGGCATTCATGGTTGGAGAGCGAGTGTTATTTCGGGTGTCGACCATGAAGGGTGTGATGAGATTTGGGAAGAAGGGCAAGCTAAGCCCTAGGTTCATCAGACCTTTTGAGATCCTTCGGAGAGTGGGAGAGGTGGCTTACGAGCTTGCGTTGCCACTGGGTTTATCAGTAGTGCATCCAGTATTTCATGTGTCCATGCTTCGTAAGTATCACGGCGATCCATCCCATGTGTTAGACTTTAGCACCGTCTAGTTAGACAAGGATTTGACCTACGATGAGGAGCCGGTAGCTATTCTAGACCAGCAGGTTCTTCAGTTGAGATCGAAGAGTTATCCTTCGGTTCATGTGCAGTGGAGAGGTCAGCCTGTTGAGGCATCTACTTGGGAGTTCGAGTCTGATATGCGGAGCCGATATCCCTATCTTTTCACTGACTCGGGTACTTTTCTATGTCCATTCGAGGACGAATGGTTGTTTTAGAGGTGGAAAATGTGATGACCCAAAAGGTCTTCTTTTATTTTAGAATCCGTTTTCGTGTTCTGAGTCCTTGAAAACCTCCTTTTATCTCTCCTCAATTTGCGTGCGTAATCTGGCATGATACCGGAAAGCTTTTGTATGAAAAGTTTAAGAAACAATGATTTTGGCTTAAAAAGATGATTTTAGTTGATTTCGATTAATATTTTAGGTAAATGGACCTGGACCCGTGTTCTGACGGTCCCGGAGGGTCCGTTGTAAAATATGGGACTTGGGCATATGCCCAGATTCGAATTTCGAAGTCCCTATCCCGAAAAATGAATTTTTGAAAAAAATTGTTAAACTGAAAATATAATGGTTTTTGGAAATTTAAATAGATTTGATCTTATTGGTATCAGGCCCATATTTTAGTTTCGGAGCCTGGTACAGGTCCGTTATTTTATTTAGACCCTAACTGTAAAAAATTTGGTGGAAAACGGAGGTGATTTGACGTGATTCGGACCTTTGGTTGAAAAGTTAGAAATTTTGAACTAACTTGAAAATTTCATGAGTTTTGGTGTTGAATTCATAGTTCAAGATGTTATTTTGGCGATTTGATCATGCGAGCAAGTTCATATGATGTTTTAAGACTTGTGTGCATGTTTGGTTTGGAGCCCTGAGGGCTCGGGTGAGTTTTCGATAGGCTACAGAGTGTTTTGAGACTTAAGGAATTTGTTGTTGTGTTGCAGATCTACAGACTTCACAATTGCGAAGTCTGGCTCGCAAATGCGAGCATCGCATTTGCGAAGTTCCATTACATTTGCGATTAGAGGGCAGGGAGGGGGACCTTCACATTTGCAAAGTTCATCGTCGCAATTACGACTCTAACAGTGACCGCATTTGCGAATAATTGTTTGTATCTGCGAAGGCAGCAGGTCAGGCCAAGCTTTGCAATTGCGATGCATTGGTCGCATTTGCGAACCTGTGATCACAAATGCGATATATGCCACTGTTAAATCATAACTTAAACAGGATTTTCACCTATTTTTCAATTCTCTCAAACCCTAAACCTCCCTAGGCAATTTTCCAAAGACCCAAACTTCTTCAAATCATAGGTAAGTGATGTCTAACTCAACTCTTTCAATCTATCTCATCTTTTTTCAAGATTTAGACACAAAATCTAGGAATTTTAATGGGAAATTGGGTGTTTTTGGGGTGAAATTTGGAGAATTAGACCTCAAATTGAGGTCGGATTCCAAAACCAATTGCATATCCGGGCTCGGGGGTGAATGGGTAATCTGATTTTGGTCTGAACTTCGAGTTTTGACCAAGCGGTCCCAGGGTCGGTTTTTGACTTTTTGTGTAAAATGTTAGAAAATCTATGCTTTAGCATTTATTGATGTTATTAAATTAACTATGACTAGATACGAGTGAATTGGTAGTGGAATCGAGATGTAAAGCGGTGATTGAGTGTTGAATTATCTGTTGGCATGCGGTAAGTGTTTGGTCTAACTTTGACTTGAGGGAAATGGAATCCCCAACTTATTTGCTATATGAAATTCCATGTGTGTGGCGTATAGGTGTGTTGACGAGTACCTATGCGCCCCCAAATTTCCATTTTTAGCTTGTTCCCTTCCCCGTTTCCTATTATATTATTTCTTGCCTTAATTGCTACTTGTTCATAATTGCTTCCATGTCTTAATTGCTACTTATGCATATATGTTTTCATGTCTAATTGTTTCATATTAACTGTTGTTATCTTTATTGAAGTATTTAATTATTTCATGGTTTAGTTTTATTACACCGTTGGCTTATATTGGCTTGTTGGTGCCTTATGGTACACCTTGGTTGGTCTCGCTGAGTAGTTTACACTGTTGAAGTTTCCTAATCGTAGTGATATTCCATTGTTTGGATTGCGGTATAAGTATATTGGAGGATTTGAATTAACCTGTGAAACACTTGTCTTTATTCATTTGTGATTAATGTTGATATATATTGGGATAGGGTTGCACGCTGCAACAGGAGGAATAAGGGTGAAATGTGATTGTCTGTTGGGATCGGGTTGCACGCTGCAACAAGGAGTAATAAGGGTGAACATGTGGGATCGGGTTGCGCGCCATAATATGAGTAATAATGGTGATATGTGTTGAGGAGTAATAAGGGTGGACATGTGGGATCGGGTTGCACGCCACAACAAGGAGGTATAAGGGTATATATTGATATCGTTGTTGTTTATATGATGAGATCGGGATGCATGCCACATCAGTTGTTGTTATGTGTTCATATATGTTGAGGCCCATTATTGTGATGTTGAAACACCCTTAAGGATTGGTTATAGCTGAATACTAGTAGAACAATTGGGTTCCGGATTTATTTAATGCCAGTTATTGCTTTATTACATTCTGTATTTCCTTTCTGTTTGGTATAAACTGTTGCAGGTTGTATATGTTGTATGCCCCATCATAGACTCGTCACTACTTCGTAGAGGTTAGGCTCGGCACTTACCAGTACATGGGGTCGGTTGTACTGATATTTCACTCTGCACTTCTTAGGCAGATTTTGAAGCTAGTGGCTGATCGAAAGGTTGGTTGTTGTTGCTGCATTTTTGAGACCCAAGGTAGTCCTGCAGGAGTCCGCAGACCCTAGCATCCCCTTCTATCCTATTTCATTTCTATTTTATCTAGTTTCGAGACAGATGTAAACATTTCGTTTAGAACATTATTTGTAGTATTCGTAGATAGTTCGTGAGCTAGGGCACTAGTTCTGGGTGGATTTTATTTCGGTTTTCGTTATTGCATAAAGTTAAGCTTTTAAACTGTTTTCTCCCGCACTTATTTCCACTGGTTTATTATGTTAAGTCTTAAATATTTGAAATATAAAGGAAAAAGGTAAGATATTCTGAAACTTTGACTTGCCTAGCGAGTACAATGTTAGGCGCCATCACGGTTCCGACGGCGGGAAATTCGGGTCGTGACAAATATAAACCTCATGTCCTTCAATTGGGGTGATTGCATCACCATTGTTGTAGTTTGTGAGGTCAGGTCTAGCCCCCCTCTTGCATTTTTTTGAATACACAACACAACCTAGACAGCTGTCTGGGAAACTTTATAAAAAAAAGATAAAGCATACCAGTGTTTGAATGGAATTCAGCCCTCAAGCTTGAATACCCTCGGATTGATTGGTGCAAGAATAGTTAAAAATATAACAAGCTAATGAACGAGAATATAAACGAAAGAGAAAGTGTTGTATTTCTTTGATCTCTATGAACAACGTGTCTTACAAATGATTAGAACCTCCTTTATATAGTAGAGGAATTCTAACTTAAGGCACAATTCTAAATATAGAAGGAAATCCTATGATTGGATGAACAACCGGTCTTTAGTTGATTCATGCCGAGATTCTCGCCACGATCCTTGGCCGATCCTAGATATCTCGGTTTTCTGTTACTCGACTTAGCTTCGATCTCCCTCTTATTTGGTCTCGATCTTGGTCGACCTCGAGCTTAATCGGTCCAAGGGTCTCGATAACTTAACAACGCTCCATAGATAAAAATTGAGGTCCAAACTTGATCTACCACGTTCCATCCTTGGTCAGTCAAAAAAAGGGGCATCCCGATTTTTACTGTATATAAATACTCCCCTCGTTTTTGGTCACTCAAAAAAGGGTCTTCCTTTGCTTGTTCTTCTCAAAGCACCAAATATTCCAATATTTATTCTTCCTTGCTCACAAAAATAAAATGGCCAAAACATCTAAAACCGTTCCGCAAAAGGAAGCTGCGCAGGCTCGGGCAAAGGAGGTTGCTGAGCGCACCAAGTGTCAGTCTCAGAGGGAGGCCCTTAAAAAATCCATGCTCGGGGCTTTGATCTTTCGACCGAGATCGATGGACCCCGATGACCATTTGAACTAGAGTTTGATTAGATCTTAAGCTTAACAGTCGGGTGAAGATTCGCTCGAACTCGAAGTAAAGTTAGCCTTTAGGCTTTATAGATAGTCCCCGAGTGAGAGTTTACTCGAACTCGGTTAACATAGCCCTTGGTATTTTATGATCGAGTGAGGACTTGTTCGAACTTAAAGTTAACTAAGCCCTTAAACTTTATAGTCGAGTGAGGATTTTCTCGAACTCGAAGTAAAGTTAGACCTTAGGTTTTATAGATAGTCCCCGAGTGAGAGTTTGCTTGAACTCGAGTTAGGATAGCCCTTGGGCTTTTATGATCGAGTGAATACTTGCTCGAACTTGAAGTGAATTAAGACCTTAGGCTTTGTAGCCGAGTGAGGATTTGCTCGAACTCGAAGTAAAGATAGCCCTTAGGCTTTATAGATAGTCCCCAAATGAGAGTTTGCTCGAACTCAAAGTAGAAGTATCACTTAGGTCTTTGTATTTGTTACAAATTACGGATGTCTCCGATCCGCGTTAATTTGGTCTTAGCATATTTAGTTCGGAATCTACTCTTTGGGCTTATTTTCTATTTCACTTCGAGCTTGTGCGAAGTGTTAGTCCCCGAGTGGGGTGGCTATGGCCTGTAAAATTGAGGGTCACCTTTAAGGTGTTATGGTCTCGAAATTTTAGTAGTTTGATTTCATTTTTTTTCGAACGACAGTCCTCAAGCATGGGGTTAAACTTCCTTCATGATCGGCCCTTAAGCCCGTTTACACAATAGATCAAGAGAATGAAGTAGGAAATTTTTCTAAAGGCACGCGATATCGGCAAGGAAAAATACTTCTCTCAATAGATGATTATACATGCGTGCATGTTTGATGTTAGGGCTCCAGTAACCTATATAAGCATGGTTCATTTGACCATGTGATCCTTACAACATTTTCCTATTGAGACCCTACTGTCACGAAGTAATTTCCTTGCAACAAAATAGACATTCGAGGGTAATGCCCCCAATACGCGAGGCTCATTGTAGGGAACCTCGAATACTATTGAATTGCTCTAAGTTAGCACGAGAAATGGTTGCCTTGTTGAAAACCTAGCCGGAAAAACCCATTTGGGATAAAAACCGGTCTAAAGGAAAACGAGTGCAATGCGTGCTTTAAGATCCAAAACTTTGTGTCGATCCTTGTCGATAGCCTGCAAGTGTTAGTCAAAAAAAATAGAAAGAATTGGAATGGGGTTGTACCTTCATTCGGATTTAGGATATTTAACATGATCTCCCTAAGTATCAAGTCCCCGTAAACTTTGACCTCGATCACTTCTCCTCTCATTTTGTGCGAAGCTTTGCCCAGATCCATTGCTTCTACGGTCTCTATTGTACAGTTGATATCGATCTCTATTCAACCTTGACTCTCGATTGATGTCCCTTTTCATCCTATCAATGGGCCTGTTAGGATAAACGAACCCAGAAGGGGTCCCCAGTTGATCATCCTCGACCCTGATCTTCGAATCGATTATGTACGTCGGCCCAAGTGATAGCCGAGTACTCGATCAAAATTTTGCTTCAATTGATGTGAAGCTATGGAACTCCGTTCGTTGAGACCTTGAGTAAAGGATTGAAAAGCCCAATCATCGGTGATCGGTGGCAGATCCATCCGTTCCATTTGCAATCGAGATATGAATTCTCTGAGCATCTCGTTTGTCTTTTTGCCTTACCTTGAATAGGTCGAATTTCTAGTTGCAACCTTAATGGCTCTAGCGTGCGCCTTTACAAATGAATCTGCAAGCATAGCATATGAATCAATAGAATTAGGTGGTAAATTATGGTACCATACCATGGCACTCTTTGATAGAGTTTCTCCGAATTTCTTCAAGAACACAGATTCAATATTGTCATCTTCCAAGTTATTTCCCTTAATGGCGCACGTATAAGAAGTAACATGCTTATTAGGGTCAGTGGTCCCATTGTATTTGAGAATTTCTAGCATGCAGAATTTCTTCGGAATGGGCTTCGGAGCCGCACTTGGAGGGAAAGGTTTCTGCACAAACTTCTTCGAATCCAAACCCTTTAGAATCGGTGGTTCCCCCGGTATTTGGTCAACTCGGGAGTTGTATGTTTCTACCTTTTTATCATTCACCTCGATTTTCTTTCCTAGTGATTCAATCCGTTTGGCGAGCTCCTCGAGCATTTTCATAATGGCAGGGTCAGTTCCCAAGACATTGGCATTCGATCTCTCCGGTATAGGTTTGGCCCTACGAACAGCTTCTGGTTCGGGTTCTGGTTCGATCCCACTTAGTGTTCGATGTTGATTCTATAGTTGCACTATAACGGCTTGCTGAGCCTGTAGCATTTCAAATATCAATTGGAGGCTGACTCCACCATCTTCTCCGCCCTGCATACCTCGACCACCTGATCGAACTTCCCTATGTATGCTACCTTCGGGATCAACGGCTAGATTTGCATTTAGGGTGACATGTGAACTGACATTGACGGGATCTACAATTGGTACTCCCTCGAGGCCAGCCTGAGGAACTTTGATCATGGCAGCTATGTTGTCGTTTTCTCCATGGAAATCGAGGTCGTTGTCGGCGTGAGTGGGTACTGCTTGCGAGTTTGACATGTTGATCTTGAAATAAAAAATGCTTACAAGAACAAGCATAAAGTAGTGTGTGTTATAAGAATAAATACCAGGCAATCACTATTATCCTTAGCCCCACGATGGGCGCAAAACTGTTTACCCTTAAAATTGGATAACAATTGAACTTATAATGTGGTTTTAAAGATACGTGTTTTCACCTAATATCAATTGACTAATATGAAGATTAGTAATAGAAATTAACAATAAGATAAAGCAAACCAGTGTTTGAATGGAATTCAGCCCTCAAGCTTGAATACCCTCGGATTGATTGGTGCTAGAATAGTTAAAAATATAACAAGCTGATGAACAAGAATATAAACGAAAGATGTATTGTTTTGACCTTGGTGAACAACGTGTCTTACAAATGATTAGAACCCCCTTTATATAGTAGAAAAATTCTTACATAAGATACAATTCTAAATATTAAAGGAAATCCCATGATTGGCTGAACAATCGGTCTTGACTTGATTCGTGCCGAGATTCTGGTCGCGATCCTTGGCCGATCACGGATATCTAAGTTTTTTGTTACTCGACTTAGCTTTGATCTCCATCTTATTTGGTCTCGATCTTGGACGACCTCGAGCTTAATCGGTCCCAGGGTATAACTTAACCCCGCGCCATAGATAAAAATCAAGGTCCAAACTTGATCTACCACGTTCCAGCCTTGGTCAGTTGAACAAAAAGGGGCATTCTGATTTTGACTGTATACAGATAGTTCCCTCATTTTTTGGAGTGTAATGACAAGAAACGAACTGAGTATGAGTTCCTTTGCTTATTCTTCTAAAAGCACCAAATATTCCAATCTTTATTCTTCCTTGCTCACAAAAACAAAATGGCCAAAACATCTAAAACCATTCCACAAAAGGAAAAAGCTCAGGATCGGGAAAAGGAGGTCGTCGAGCGCGCCATGTGTCAGAATTGGAGGGAGGCCCTTGAAAAAACCCATGCTCAGGGCTTTAATTTTTCGACCGAGATTGCTGGACCCTGATGACCATTTAAACTAGAGTTTGAATAGCTCTTAGGCTAAACAGTCGAGTGAGGATTCGCTCGAACTCGAATAAATTTATCCTTTAGGCTTTATAGATAGTCATCGAGTGATATTTTGCCAGAAATCGAGTTAAGATAGCCCTTGGGATTTTATGATCGAGTGATGACTTGCTCGAACGCGAAGTGAAGTTAGCCCTTAGGCTTTATAGTCGAGTGAGGATTTGCTCGAATTCGAAATAAAGTTAGACCTTAGGCTTTATAGATAGTCATCGAGTGATATTTTGCCAGAAATCGAGTTAAGATAGCCCTTGGGATTTTATGATCGAGTGATGACTTGCTCGAACGCGAAGTGAAGTTAGCCCTTAGGCTTTATAGTCGAGTGAGGATTTGCTCGAATTCGAAATAAAGTTAGACCTTAGGCTTTATAGATAGTCCCCGAGTGAGAGTTTGCTCGAACTTGGGTTAGGATAGCCCTTAGGATTTTATGATCGAGTGAGGACTTGCTCGAACTCGAAGTGAAGTTATCCCTTAAGCTTTATAGTCGAGTGAGGATTTGCTTGAACTCAAAGTAAAGTTAGACCTTAGGCTTTATAGATAGTCCCCGAGTGAGAGTTTGATCGAACTCGGGTTAGGATAGCCCTTGAGCTTTTATGACAGAGTGAGGACTTGCTCGAACTCGAAATGAAGTGAGCCCTTAGGCTTATAGTCAAGTGAGGATTTCCTCGAACTCCAAGTAAAGTTAGCCCTTAGGCTTTATAAATAGTCCCCGAGTTAGAGTTTGCTCGAACTTGGGTTAAGATAGCCCTTGGGCTTTTATGATCGAGTGAGGACTTGCTCGAACTCGGACGTCTCCAATCCGTGTTAATTTGGTTGTAGCCTCTTTAGTTTGGAACCTGCCCTTTGGGTTTATTTTCGATTTCACTTCGAGCTTAGACGAAGTGTCGGTCCCCGAATTGGGTGGCTATGGCCTGTAAAATCGAGCGTCGCCTTTAAGGTCTATGGTCTAGAAATTTTTGTAGTTCGATTTCGTTTGTTTTTCGGACGGCAGTCCTCAAACTTGGGGTTAGTTATTCAAACTTTCGCCATGATCGACCCTTAATCCCATTTACACAACAGATTAAGAGTATGAAGTAGGAAAATTTTCTAAAGGCACGAGATATCGGCAAGGAAAAATACTTCTCTCAATAGACGATTATACATGCGTGCATGTTTGATGTTATGGCTCGAGTGACCTATATGGGCATGGTTCATTTGACCGTTTGACCCTTACAACATTTTCCTATCGAGACCCCGATGTCACGAAGTAATTTCCTTGCAACAAAATAGACATTAGAGGGTAATGCCACCCAGTACTCGAGGCTTATTATAAGGAACCTCGGATACTGTTGAATTGCTTTAAGTTAGCGTAAGCAATGGTTGCCTCGTTAAAAACCTCATCAGAAACACCTATTTGGGACAAAAACCAGTCTAAGGAAAAAAGAGTGCAATACGTTCTTTAAGATCCAAAACTTCATGTCGATCCTTGTCGATATCCTGCAAGTGTTAGTCGAAAAAATAGAAAGAATTGGAATGGGGTCGTACCTTCATTCGGATTTTGGATATTTAACGTGATCTCCCTCAGTATCAAGTCCCAGTGAACTTTGACCTCGATCACTTCTCTTTACATTTCGTGCGACGCTTCGCCCAGACCCGTTGCTTCTACAGTCTCCATTGTACGATTGATATCGATCTCATTTCGACCTTGACTCTCAATCAATGTCCCTTTTGATCATATCCATGGGGACGTTAGGATAAACGGATGTGGAAGGGGTCCCCAGTTGATCATCCTCGGCCCTGATCTTCGACTAATATCGATTATGTATGTCGGCCCAAGTGACAGCCGGGTACTCGATCAAACTATGCTTCAACTGTTGTGAAGTTATGGAACACCGTTTGTTGAGACCTTGAGTAAAGGCTTGAACAACCCAATCATCGGTGACCAGTAGAAGATCCATCTGTTTCATTTGAAATTGAGATATGAATTCCCTGAGCATCTCGCTGTCTTTTTGCCTTACCTTGAATAGGTCCAACTTTCTAGTTGCAACCTTAATGGCTCCAGCGTGCACCTTTACAAATGAATCTGCAAGCATAACAAATGAATTAATAGAATTAGGTGTTAAATTATCGTACCATACCATGGCACTCTTTGATATAGTTTCTCCGAATTTCTTCAGCAACACGGAATCAATCCTGTCATCTTCGAAGTCATTTCCCTTAATTGCGCACATATAAGAAGTAGCATGCTCATTATGGTCAGTGGTCCAATTGTATTTGAGAATTTCTAGCATAAGGAATTTCTTCGGGATGGGCTTTGGAGCAGCACTTGGAGGGAAAGGCTTTTGCACGAACTTCTTCGAATCCAAACCCTTTATAATCGGTGGTGCCCCCGGTATTTGGTCAACCCGGAAGTCGTATGTTTTTACCTTTTTATCATTCACCTCGATATTCTTTTCTCCTAATTCACTCCGTTTAGTGAGATCCTCGAGCATTCTTATAATGACAGAGTCAGTCCCCAAAACATTGGCGTTTGATCTCTCTGGTATAAGTTTGGCCCTACGAACAACTTCTGATTCGGGTTATGGTTCGATCCCACTTGGTGCTTGATGCTGGTTCTGCAATTATGCTATAACGGCTTGTTGAGCTTGTAGAATTTCAAATATCAATTGGAGGCTGACTCCGCAGTCTTCTCCGCCCTGCGTACCTCGACCACTGATCAAATTTCCCTGTGTATGCTACCTTCGGGATCAGTGCCTAGATTTTCATTTTAGGGCGACATGTGAACTGACATCAACAGGATCTGCAATTGGTACTCTCTCGAGGCCAGCATGAGGCACTTCGATCCTGGGGCAGCTACGTTGTCATTTTATCCATGGAAACTGAGGTCGTTATCGGTGTGAGCAGGTATTACTTGCGAGTTTGACATGTTGATCCTGAAATCAAAAAGGCTCACAAGAACAAGCGTAAAGTAGTGTGTGTTATGAGAATTAATACCAGGCAATCACTATTATCCTTAGCCCCATGGTGGACGCCAAACTGTTTATCCTTAAAATTGGATAACAATTAAACTTATAATGTGGTTTTAAGGATACGTGATTTCACCTAATACCAATTGACGAATATGAAGATTAGCAATAGAAATTAACAATAATATAAACCAAATCAGTATTTTAATGGAATTCATCCCTCGAGCTTGAATACCCTCAGATTGATTGGTGAGAATAGTTAAAAATATAACAAGCTGATGAACGAGAATATAAACGAAAGAGAAAGTGTTGTATTGCTTTGATCTCAGTGAACAACGTGTCTTACAAATAATTAGAACCCCCTTTATATAGTAGTGGAATTATTACTTAAGGTACAATTCTAAATATGGAAGGAAATTCCATGATTGGTTGAACAACCAGGCTTGACTTGATTCTTGCCGAGATTCTCGCCACGATCCTTGGCCGATCCCGGATATCTCAGTTTTATGTTACTCGACTTAGCTTCGATCTCCATCTTATTTAGTCTCGATCTTGGTCGACCTCGAGCTTAATCGGTCCCAGGGTCTCGATAACTTAACCTAGCGCCCACTACTATAAATCCGGAAAAAAGCAACCAAAATTTGGCGATCAAAATTGGTTTGTCAAGAAAAGCGACCAAAGTTGGTCGCTAAATTGGAGAAAATAATTAAATAACTATTCTAAATACATTGGCGACCAAGATTGGTCGCTTTTTGGTCAATAATGTGGTCAAAATGTTGACCGGACTTGTCAGACTTGCTTGGTCTAAGAAATACTAAAATTAGCGACCAACTTTGGCCGCTAAAGTGGGACCCTGTTATAAAATTTTAATAATTATATTATTATTTAAAAAAATTATAAAATATAAATAAATATAATTTAAAATTAGCGACCAAAGTTGGTCGCTTACGAAAGGGAAAGCAGATAGAGACCAACTTTGGTCGATAATCTAGG